AATAGTACAGTAATATAAATAATTAGTGACAAAATGTATATTGCAGATGTAAAGAAAAGCCATATAGCCATATTAGACAGTTATCATTGCCATTAATTGCCTCGTTTGTCACAAAATAAATTACACTGGTTTGACTTAGATTTGAGGGCATGTGCATGTTATCATGCATGTTATCTATCACATTCGCTAACCTGTCTGTCTTTAAATTCTTTAAACAGCTCTGGATGCCGGTCGGCGGGTGCTTAGCCAAGTTTGATGTGTTGGCTCCCTTGGTTTGCAGGGATCTAAAACATGTCTTACAGACAGGCCTCGTGGTGTCCGTAGGCTTGCCCTCACTGTCAGAGATATTGCTAAAATACTTCCAAATTTCGCTTATGGCGTCTTTTTTGTCAACAAGCCGAGGCGCAGCGGCAGTTGCACTTGCAGCCATGCTTCTCGTTTTCTCACATGCTCTGCAGCTAGCGCGTGGCCGCGTGCACGAGAGAGGGGAGGGACTGCAGAGCGTGCTTGAGAGGGGAGGGACTGCAGAGCAGGCACGGCTGCAGTGCAGGGAGAGTGGAAGCAGAGCGCTGAACACACACGGCTCTTTATTAAAACGGCGCTTTCTCACCGGAGTACTTTTCCCCGTCATTCTTAAAGTACCGATACTAATGAAACGGAGGAATCGTACCGTTTTTAACGGCAGGGTATCGTGGTACCTTTCAAGTATCGGTACACCGTGCAACACTACTTGGTAGTAAGTAATAATGGTTGTTGCGGGTGTGAGCTTGTAGATAGGTTATTTTCAAATAGCCGACCCGACATATATATAGGTTTAAAGTGCTCATGTTCTTTTGCGCTTGTTTTCATAGACCTGGCTGCTTATTCCTTCCGCAAAAACTGGCAACACTAGTGGCTGCAGCGTTAACACTGCATGAGAGGAGGAGAGACAGACAGAACACTACCATTTGCATGCGATCATGGTACTTTAATGTTAAATGTATAGAGTCTATTTGCTTTACATCGTTTAAGTATGATTGACATTGCAAGTTGGTATTATTCAGAAGCAAAATAATAAAAAAATCAGCATGACGTCATAGAAATTATTGCACTGCGTTACTTAAGATGAAATGACAGAATCCAAAAAAATGAAGTTTACATTTTTGCCGTAATTTGGAAATGAGATTGCATAGGTGTCTGAATCGAGATCACAATTTTTTTTCGATTAATCGTGCAGCACTACCCTGCCCTACCACTCCACTACAGGCCCCTCCAACACACTACGCCCCACTTTCCAATCAGTCCCCAAAATTGTAATACCAGTTTTTTTTTCAATTCAAAACATCCAAACTATCCCCTTAAGATGGTGCAGACTTTGAACAAGACAGCTACGCTACCCAGGAATTTGCTGCACAGAAAAAACATGACATTGTGGTTACAATAGAATTACATTGTTTTGTTATTGTGTTTTTCAGATATCTGAAGAATTTCATCGGATCACCAGCAAAGACCTCCTGGGGACGTTCGGTGCAGCCTTTGACAAACATGTGCCTTGCCTGCTGAAACTGTACCGGGCTAGGAAGGGAGCTTTTGGACAGAAGATGGAAGACCTCAGTAGCGGAGAGGGAAGAGCCTGTCACTCAGGGGCCAGAGTCCTTCTGATCCATCCGCCGGGTGGAGTAGCGGAGATTTTGGATTACCAACAAAGGTAATATTTTTTTTCTGTTAAACCCCTCTCGCTCTCTCTCTCTCTCCCCCTCATTCATGAGGTTATTTTAAAGTGATATTTCACCGTTCAATATTTTTCTTAGTGTCAAATAATCGCCCTTAGATAGATAGATAGATGTGTACTTATAGAAGAGACGGCAGTAAAATGCCCCCAGATATTATTTCTTAATAAAGTGGTGAATATTTGTCAATAATGCTGTATTTGTGTGAACAGATTACAATATTACACATATTAATATTATTATATTGCGTCCTTGGAGACTGATTTGTCCTAATATTTTTTAGTCCGCATGATGAGGAGTACAAGAGACGAATGGGAAAAGATAAGGACAATTTGAGATGGGAGCACATCAACACCAGCAAAGGTAAGATTTGTTTTCTGTTAACTTGTTTAACCTCTGTTGATAAAGAATGTTCTGGAACGCACCGTTGCAGCGGGGGCTCTGCTCTGGACACATGCGTGCGCATCTCTTTTCCTCTCTCTCTCTCTCTCTCTCTCCCTCTCCTGACAGCCTGTCAGTATCTCATGCAGCTCACTGATCTAGTAATGAGTGACCCGACAGTGAAGAATACATATATTTATAATGACTAGTTTAGCTTGTTCCAGAGGTAGATAAAATAGCTAAGTATGTTAGGTCTAACTGTGTTTCGCTCCGCTTACCGGGCCGGTGGGCGGAGCTGCAGAATTTCTGCTTCTCACACGTTGCATACCGCCATTTTACTGTCTTTTTCGGACACCTTAAAATAATGCCAGACCGGTGAAGCCATTTTGGCGAGCTTGTTTTGCCGCACACAGTGTCATGTATTTTACGTCATGCGATCGGCTCTCGCGATCGGCATGTTTAGAGAGCACCGATCGATCGGTAGAGAGAGTGAGTATTGGCCGATCTCGATCGGTGACCGATCGATCGGAGCATCCCTAATTATATATATATATATATATTTCTATTAATCATTTTCGGCATTCGGTTTCGGCCAAGAATTTCCCATTCGGTGCACCCCTAATCTATATCTATACATTTTCTCATTAAACGTGACTATTTTGTTCTCAACAGTTTGCTCTACTATGTCACATGAATACTGTTTAAAAAAACTAAAGACAGAAATCTTTGATAAGTATCATATTTTGGTAACACATTTAGTGAATGAGGTATACATAACACCTACATAAGCACTGAAAACTGATTTGTTGCCTCTCCTGTCCACCCTTTAATTTGCAAAAAACAGTCAAATTTGATCCACACGCATTTATGCTTCCTAACTGGACAGGTCCTTATCTTAGAAGTTTAATTGACTGGGTTTTATACAGTGATGATTGAGTGTTCCCTTCATATTTTTTAAATGGTGTATGCATGCACAGAACAACATCTCATTTGTTTGTCAGTTATCATGTAGTGCTTATGTAGGTGTTACGTATGCCTGTTGTTATTTGTTTGGCTCATGCTTGTTCCCCTTTCTTTGTATTATAATCAGAACGAATGTGAAAGCAGTGAAGAGGAAGAATCCGATGATGAACGGGATCCAGAGTTTTCCAGCCTCAGAAACTGATACTGCACGTGATGAACCAACAAACTCCAAATCCCTGGTTGCTGAAGATCACTGATGGTCGACCTCATTAACTTGGATACCATTGGTGACACATTACATTACATGTTACTTGTTAGACGCTTTTATCCAAAGCGACTTTCATACTCAATACTGTGGGCAATCCCCACAGGAGCAATTTGGGGTGAAGTGTCTCAGGGACACAACGACATGCTGACTGAAGTGGGGTTTGAACCTGTGCTCCCTTGATCCGAACACCAACGCTCAATCCACTGCGCCACACGCCTCCTGAAACAGCTTCTGGACTGCTTCTGACTAAAAAATATTCTTACACATTCTTAATTATTCTTCTTTACTCTTTCCTCTGTCAAATAATACTATCAAGGCACATTTATGATATGTCCAAGGACATAGAGGAGCAGCTTAATGACAAGATAGGAGATAGTCGCTTTGCTCGGCAGATAGATGATGTAACAGTAACGAAGACTGTTTACTAATATCGTAGGTTTTGAGAATATTACAATCTATAAAATACATTTCAGTGAAGTTTGGAAACAAAAGACGCGAGGGGGGCTCAAAAATATTCTTACACAGAAAAGGGTGGCCTTTCGCAGTCGGTGCCCTTTTCCGCCATGTTGATAATAGAGTTTAGTCATTGCCAGATTTCACGGCACCTTACATATACAGGCCGTTTCTCAATGTCGAGTAGAGCTGCTGCAGAGCCACGAGCCAGTGTCGCCGAATGCTGGGCATTTAAACAGCATTTAAACAGTCCTTCGGCGCCACTCGATGACGTAGTATACTTGAAATAGTGGCTCTGCAGCAGCTCTACTCGACATTGAGAAACGACCAGTGTCTATTTCTTCTTCTTGTCTTCTGGGATTTGTAATTCCAGCCGTGCTCTCAGTGACACGTGTCCTGCTCTTTCTTCAGCTTCACCACCGCCACGCTGTGCATAATCCTATCCGCCATGTTGATAACGCAGTTTAGTCATTGCACCCTAAATATCGTAGTTTTCAAATTTGAATGAAATATGTGTAAATACAACTGACCCCATAGACCAGTAAGTGGCTAGGTTTGTGTGTAAACAGACCTCATAAATACAACTGACCCCATAGGTCAGTTGTGGCTAGGTTTGTGTGTTGTGTGTAATAGGGCTGTGCAATTAATCGTATTTTAATCGTGTTGTGTGTAAACAGACCTCATAAATACAACTGACCCCATAGACCAGTAAGTGGCTAAGTTTGTGTGTTGTGTGTAAACAGACCTCATAAATACAACTGACCCCATAGACCAGTAAGTGGCTAGGTTTGTGTGTTGTGTGTAAACAGACCTCATAAATACAACTGACCCCATAAAACACCAAGTGGCTAGGTTTGTGTGATGTATGTAAACAGACCTCATAAACCCAGTTGGCCCAATATACCACAATTTGGTCCCGGCCCCATAAGCCTGTGAAATGTCACATATTTTATATGTATTATATTATGTATGTTCTGAAAGTGAAATTTTTCTTTTGAATTGGAAATTGTCTTCTGGGGTTCAGTGGAAATATTTGTACCTTATTTTTAATATGACAGGATGGTGGGAAAGGTATGTCCCTATAAACCACTGAAAAACCCCATTGACCTTGTAAACCACATATGCCTGTATGTGTGTGTGTGTGTGTGTGTGTGTGTGTGTGTGTGTGTGTGTGTGTGTGTGTGTGTGTGTGTGTGTGTGTGTGTGTGTGTGTGTGGCCCACTGACCACAGGTTGGTACTGAACCTCGTAACGCTTCTGGTCCTCCGCAGCCTTCTTGATCCACGGGATCTTCTCCTTCTTCTCCATGGACTTCCAGGCCTGCTCCATGGCCGCCTGCGCCTTCCTGCGGTCGCTCTGCGGGGGAGGGGTCAAAGGTTAGAGACAGGTTGCAGGTAAACAGGAGGCGTGTGTGTCATGTGATGCTGACTCACTCTGTATTTGGCCAGGTAGTCTCCGATCACGCTGTGCTGCCACATCTCCTCCGCTGTCTTCGGCGTCTCAGGAAGCTTCGCCGCCTTCTTCCCGTCCCGCCGTGCTGCAGGGGTCCAGGTCTCCGTCTCCTGACACGAGGAGGAGAGGAGGCATCAGACGAGGAGACTTACGAGCTGTAAGACCAGGAAACTAACGAGCTGTAAACCAGGAGGCTAACAAGCTTTAAGACCAGAACCAGGGTGCTAACAAGCTTTAAGACCAGAACCAGGGTGCTAATAAGCTTTAAGACCAGAACCAGGGTGCTAACAAGCTTTAAGACCAGAACCAGGGTGCTAATAAGCTTTAAGACCAGAACCAGGAGACTAACAAGCTTTAAGACCAGAACCAGGGTGCTAACAAGCTTTAAGACCAGAATCAGGGTGCTAATATGCTTTAAGACCAGAACCAGGGTGCTAACAAGCTTTAAGACCAGAACCAGGGTGCTAATAAGCTTTAAGACCAGAACCAGGAGACTAACAAGCTTTAAGACCAGAACCAGGAGACTAACAAGCTTTAAGACCAGAACCAGGAGACTAACAAGCTTTAAGAGCAGAACCAGGAGACTAACAAGCTTTAAGACCAGAACCAGGAGACTAACAAGTTTTAAGACCAGAACCAGGAGACTAACAAGCTTTAAGAGACCAAAACCAGGAGACTAACGAGCTTTAAGACCAGAACCAGGAGACTAACAAGCTTTAAGACCAGAACCAGGAGACTAACAAGCTTTAAGACCAGAACCAGGGTGCTAATAAGCTTTAAGACCAGAACCAGGAGACTAACAAGCTTTAAGACCAGAACCAGGGTGCTAACAAGCTTTAAGACCAGAATCAGGGTGCTAATACGCTTTAAGACCAGAACCAGGGTGCTAACAAGCTTTAAGACCAGAACCAGGGTGCTAATAAGCTTTAAGACCAGAACCAGGAGACTAACAAGCTTTAAGACCAGAACCAGGAGACTAACAAGCTTTAAGACCAGAACCAGGAGACTAACAAGCTTTAAGAGACCAAAACCAGGAGACTAACGAGCTTTAAGACCAGAACCAGGAGACTAACGAGCTTTAAGACCAGAACCAGGAGACTAACAAGCTTTAAGACCAGAACCAGGAGACTAACAAGCTTTAAGACCAGAATCAGGAGACTAACAAGCTTTAAGACCAGAACCAGGAGACTAACAAGCTTTAAGACCAGAACCAGGAGACTAACAAGCTTTAAGACCAGAACCAGGAGACTAACGAGCTTTAAGACCAGAACCAGGAGACTAACGAGCTTCAAGACCAGAACCAGGAGACTAACGAGCTTTAAGACCAGAACCAGGAGACTAACGAGCTTTAAGACCAGACCCAGGAGACTAACGAGTTTTAAGACCAGAACCAGGAGACTAATGAGCTTTAAGACCAGAACCAGGAGACTAACGAGCTATAAGACCAGAACCAGGAGACTAACGAGTTTTAAGACCAGAACCAGGAGACTAACGAGCTTTAAGACCAGAACCAGGAGACTAACGAGCTTTAAGACCAGAACCAGGAGACTAACGAGCTTTAAGACCAGAACCAGGAGATAAACGAGCTGTAAGACCAGAACCAGGAGACTAACGAGCTGTAAGACCAGAACCAGGAGACTAACGAGCTTCAAGACCAGAACCAGGGTGCTAACAAGCTTTAAGACCAGAACCAGGAGACTAACGAGCTTTAAGACCAGAACCAGGAGACTAACGAGCTTTAGGACCAGAACCAGGAGACTAACAAGTTTTAAGACCAGAACCAGGAGACTAACAAGCTTTAAGAGACCAAAACCAGGAGACTAACGAGCTTTAAGACCAGAACCAGGAGACTAACAAGCTTTAAGACCAGAACCAGGAGACTAACAAGCTTTAAGACCAGAACCAGGGTGCTAACAAGTTTTAAGACCAGAACCAGGAGACTAACAAGCTTTAAGAGACCAAAACCAGGAGACTAACGAGCTTTAAGACCAGAACCAGGAGACTAACAAGCTTTAAGACCAGAACCAGGAGACTAACAAGCTTTAAGACCAGAACCAGGGTGCTAATAAGCTTTAAGACCAGAACCAGGAGACTAACAAGCTTTAAGACCAGAACCAGGGTGCTAACAAGCTTTAAGACCAGAACCAGGGTGCTAACAAGCTTTAAGACCAGAACCAGGGTGCTAATAAGCTTTAAGACCAGAACCAGGAGACTAACAAGCTTTAAGACCAGAACCAGGAGACTAACAAGCTTTAAGACCAGAACCAGGAGACTAACAAGCTTTAAGACCAGAACCAGGAGACTAACGAGCTTTAAGACCAGAACCAGGAGACTAACTAGCTTTAAGACCAGAACCAGAAGACTAACGAGCTTTAAGACCAGAACCAGGAGACTAACTAGCTTTAAGACCAGAACCAGAAGACTAACGAGCTTTAAGACCAGAACCAGGAGACTAACGAGCTTTAAGACCAGAACCAGGAGACTAACGAGCTTTAAGACCAGAACCAGGAGACTAACAAGCTTTAAAACCAGAACCAGAAGACTAACGAGCTTTAAGACCAGAACGAGAAGACTAACTAGCTTTAGGACCAGAACCAGGAGACTAACGAGCTTTACGACCAGAACGAGGAGACTAACAAGCTTTAAGACCAGAACCAGGGTGCTAACAAGCTTTAAGACCAGAACCAGGGTGCTAACGAGCTTTAAGACCAGAACCAGGAGACTAATGAGCTTTAAGACCAGAACCAGGAGACTAACGAGCTTTAAGACCAGAACCAGGATGCTAACAAGCTTTAAGACCAGAACCAGGAGACTAACGAGCTTTAAGACCAGAACCAGGAGACTAACGAGCTTTAAGACCAGAACCAGGAGACTAACGAGCTTTAAGACCAGAACTTGGAGACTAACGAGCTTTAGGACCAGAACCAGGAGACTAACGAGCTTTAAGACCAGAACCAGGAGACTAACGAGCTTTAAGACCAGAACCAGGAGACTAACGAGCATTAAGACCAGAACCAGGGTGCTAACGAGCTATAAGATCAGAACCAGGATGCTAACAAGCTTTAAGGCCAGAACCAGGAGACTAACAAGCTTTAAGATCAGAACCAGGAGACTAACGAGCTTTAAGACCAGAACCAGGAGACTAACAAGCTTTAAGACCAGAACCAGGAGACTAACGAGCTTTAAGACCAGAACCAGGAGACTAACGAGCTTTAAGACCGGAACCAGGAGACTAATAAGCTTTAAGACCAGAACCAGGAGACTAACAAGCTTTAAGACCAGAACCAGGAGACTAACGAGCTTTAAGACCAGAACCAGGAGACTAACAAGCTTTAAGACCAGAACCAGGAGACTAACGAGCTTTAAGACCAGAACCAGGAGACTAACGAGTTTTAAGACCAGAACAAGCTTTAAGATCAGAACCAGGATGCTAACGAGCTGTAAGACCAGAACCAGGAGACTAACAAGCTTTAAGATCAGAACCAGGAGACTAACAAGCTGTAAGACCAAAACCAGGAGACTAACGAGCTTTAAGACCAGAACCAGGAGACTAACTAGCTTTAAGACCAGAACCAGAAGACTAACGAGCTTTAAGACCAGAACCAGGAGACTAACAAGCTTTAAGACCAGAACCAGGAGACTAACGAGCTTTAAGACCAGAACCAGGAGACTAACTAGCTTTAAGACCAGAACCAGAAGACTAACGAGCTTTAAGACCAGAACCAGGAGACTAACTAGCTTTAAGACCAGAACCAGAAGACTAACGAGCTTTAAGACCAGAACCAGGAGACTAACGAGCTTTAAGACCAGAACCAGGAGACTAATGAGCTTTAAGACCGGAACCAGGAGACTAACAAGCTTTAAAACCAGAACCAGAAGACTAACGAGCTTTAAGACCAGAACCAGGAGACTAACTAGCTTTAAGACCAGAACCAGAAGACTAACGAGCTTTAAGACCAGAACCAGGAGACTAACTAGCTTTAAGACCAGAACCAGAAGACTAACAAGCTTTAAGACCGGAACCAGGAGACTAATAAGCTTTAAGACCAGAACCAGGAGACTAACAAGCTTTAAGACCAGAACCAGGAGACTAACGAGCTTTAAGACCAGAACCAGGAGACTAACAAGCTTTAAGACCAGAACCAGGAGACTAACGAGCTTTAAGACCAGAACCAGGAGACTAACAAGCTTTAAGATCAGAACCAGGATGCTAACGAGCTTTAAGACCAGAACCAGGAGACAAACAAGCTTTAAGACCAGGAGACTAACAAGCTTTAAGACCAGAACCAGGAGACTAACGAGCTTTAAGACCAGAACTAGGAGACTAACTAGCTTTAGGACCAGAACCAGGAGACTAACGAGCTTTACGACCAGAACGAGGAGACTAACAAGCTTTAAGACCAGAACCAGGGTGCTAACGAGCTTTTAGACCAGAACCAGCAGACTAACGAGCTTTAGGACCAGAACCAGGAGACTAACGAGCTTTAAGACAAGAACCAGGAGACTAACAAGCTTTAAGACCAGAACCAGGAGACTAACAAGCTTTAAGACCAGAACCAGGAGACTAACGAGCTTTAAGACCAGAACCAGGGTGCTAACAAGCTTTAAGACCAGAACCAGGGTGCTAACGAGCTTTAAGACCAGAACCAGGAGACTAATGAGCTTTAAGACCAGAACGAGGAGACTAACGAGCTTTAAGACCAGAACCAGGATGCTAACAAGCTTTAAGATCAGAACCAGGAGACTAACAAGCTTTAAGACCAGAACCAGGGTGCTAACGAGCTTTAGGACCAGAACCAGGAGACTAACGAGCTATAAGACCAGAACCAGGAGACTAACAAGCGTTAAGACCAGAACCAGGACACTAACGAGCTTTAAGACCAGAACCAGGAGACTAACTAGCTTTAAGACCAGAACCAGAAGACTAACGAGCTTTAAGACCAGAACCAGGAGACTAACAAGCTTTAAGACCAGAACCAGAAGACTAACGAGCTTTAAGACCGGAACCAGGAGACTAACGAGCTTCAAGACCAGAACCAGGAGACGAACAAGCTTTAAGGCAAGGCAAGTTTATTTATATAGCACCTTTCAACACAAGACAATTCAAAGTGTTTTACAAAAAACGAAAGACATTAAGAAAATGTAAAACCAGAACCAGGAGACTAACGAGCTTTAAGACCAGAACCAGGAGACTAACAAGCTTTAAGACTGGAGCACATTAATATGAAGCATCAGTCTGGAGGTGTTGAAGGGCTAGCAGCAGTGAATACCACAGAAGAAGGAAGTGCACACCTTGACAGAGGGAGTCTTGGATCTGTGTGGGCTGTTGGCCACGCCCCCTCCCGTTCTGGCCCCGCCCAGTTTCTCCTCGCCCATCACCCGGTCTCGCTCCTCGTCTGGGAGACTCTGAAAGATATCGATAAAAAAATCGTTAAAAACAGAGTATATTAGAGTAAATTAAAGTCTACTAGAGTCTATTAAAGTCTATTAGAGTCTAATATACTTTAGTAGACTCTAATAGACTCTAATATACTTTAGTAGACTCTAATAGACTTTAATAGAGTCTATTAGAGTCTATTAAAGTATATTAGAGTCTATTAAAGTCTATTAGAGTATATTAGAGTCTATTAAAGTATATTAGCGTCTACTAGAGTCTATTAGAGTCTATTAAAGTCTATTAAAGTCCATTAAAGTCTGTTAGAGTTCATTAGAGTCTATTAGAGTCTATTAGAGTCTACTAGAGTCCATTAGAGTCTATTAAAGTCCATTAAAGTCTATTAGAGTCCATTAAAAGTCTATTAGAGTCTATTAGAGTCTATTCAAGTCTATTCAAGTCTATTAGAGTATATTAGAGTCTACTAGAGTCTATTAGAGTATATTAGAGTCAATTAAAGTATATTAGCGTCTACTAGAGTCTATTAGAGTATATTAGAGTCCATTAAAGTCTATTAGAGTCCATTAAAGTCTATTAGAGTCTATTAGAGTCTATTCAAGTCTATTCAAGTCTATTAAAGTCTATTAGAGTATATTAGAGTCTACTAGAGTCTATTAAAGTCTATTAGAGTATATTAGAGTCAATTAAAGTATATTAGCGTCTACTAGAGTCTATTAGAGTATATTAGAGTCCATTAGAGTCTATTAAAGTATATTAGAGTCTATTAGAGTCTATTAAAGTCTATTAAAGTCCATTAAAGTCTATTAAAGTCCATTAAAGTCTATTAGAGTCCACTAGAGTCTATTAAAGTATATTAGAGTCTATTAGAGTCTACTAGAGTCTATTAGAGTCCATTAAAGTCTATTAGAGTCTATTAAAATCTATTAGAGTCCATTAGAGTATATTAGAGTCTATTAGAGTCTATTAGAGTCTATTAAAGTCTATTAGAGTCTATTATGGCGCGTTTCCACTGCAGCGGGTAGCCCCGTTTAAGCGTCCTTAACCGTCCTCAAGCGGCCAGGCCGGTTTTTGGTGACGTTTCCATATAGCCTAGTACCGGCCAGCGGATACTTTTTCCCTCTTTTTCCGGCCTCATAAAATCGTGGTTCCCTCAGACCAGGGCCAGGGCTGAACTAGTGACGTCAACACTCTCGACTGCTGATTGGTCAGAGAGAATCGTCACAAGATTGCGCGCGAGTTCATCCCTAGCGTCGCATATATATATCTAGAAGCAAGCTTGCAGCATTTTTATACACAGCATTTTGTAAACGGAGGAGCTACAAAAATGGCTACTTCTAAGAAAAGCACACCGTGGTCGACCGAGGAGGTGACGACGTTCCTACATCTCATTGGGGATGATCAAATCCAGCGGGAGCTCGACGGAACAACTCGAAATGTGAACAAAAACAAAGCCGATCACCCCGCCTACACTGCGTTGCTACCCCAGGTCCTAAACTGTAATGGTAATGCGCCACGGCCTGGGCCGGCCAGCGAGGCAGTCCGAGGCCAGAGCGAGGACGCTTAGGGACGCTTAAACGGGGCTACCCCGCTGCAGTGAAAACGCGCCATTAGAGTCCATTAGAGTCTATTAAAGTATATTAGAGTCCATTAAAGTCTATTAGAGTCCATTAAAGTCTATTAGTGTCTATTAAAGTCTATTAGAGTCTATTAGAGTCCATTAAAGTCTATTAGAGTCCATTAGAGTCTATTAAAGTCTATTAGAGTCTGTTAAAGTCTATTAGAGTCCATTAAAGTCTATTAGAGTCCATTAGAGTCTATTAAAGTCTATTAGAGTCTGTTAAAGTCTATTAGAGTCCATTAAAGTCTATTAGAGTCCATTAGAGTCTATTAGAGTCTGTTAAAGTCTATTAGAGTCCATTAAAGTCTATTAGAGTCCATTAGAGTCTATTAGAGTCCATTAAAGTCTATTAGAGTCCATTAGAGTCTATTAGAGTCTATTAGAGTCTATTAAAGTCTATTAGAGTCTATTAGAGTCTGTTAAAGTCTATTAGAGTCCATTAAAGTCTATTAGAGTCCATTAGAGTCTATTAGAGTCCATTAAAGTCTATTAGAGTCCATTAGAGTCTATTAAAGTATATTAGAGTCTATTAGAGTCTATTAAAGTATATTAGAGTCTATTAGAGTCTATTAGAGTCTATTAGAGTCTATTAAAGTCCATTAGAGTCTATTAGAGTCTATTAGAGTCTGTTAAAGTCTATTAGAGTCCATTAAAGTCTATTAGAGTCCATTAGAGTCTATTAGAGTCCATTAAAGTCTATTAGAGTCCATTAGAGTCTATTAGAGTCTATTAGAGTCTGTTAAAGTCTATTAGAGTCCATTAAAGTCTATTAGAGTCCATTAGAGTCTATTAGAGTCCATTAAAGTCTATTAGAGTCCATTAGAGTCTATTAAAGTATATTAGAGTCTATTAGAGTCTATTAAAGTCCATTAGAGTCTATTAGAGTCTATTAGAGTCTATTAGAGTCTACTAGAGTATATTAAAGTATATTAGAGTCTAATACGGTCTGACAGGACGTACCTCCAGAAACCTCTGCAGGTCCACGTCGTACTGCTTCTTCCTCTGAAACACAAACAGGAAGTGAGAGCAGGCTTCACAATAAGAGCTGCGTGTGTTAGAGGAGACACAGACCTGTTCGCAGCGCTTCTGGAACATGTCCTTCTCTTTCTGCGTCATCAACTTCCACTGCTTGCTGCACAGAACCATCCTCTCAGTGCTGGGGACGTCCTTCATGTTCACCATCAGCTCAGCGCAGTACAGAGAGTAGCCGTTACTGCAACACACACACACACCATCAGCTCAGCGCAGTACAGAGAGTAGCCGTTACTGCAACACACACACACACACCATCAGCTCAGCGCAGTACAGAGTAGCCGTTACTGCAACACACACACACACACCATCAGCTCAGCGCAGTACAGAGAGTAGCCGTTACTGCAACACACACACACACCATCAGCTCAGCGCAGTACAGAGAGTAGCCGTTACTGCAACACACACACACACCATCAGCTCAGCGCAGTACAGAGAGTAGCCGTTACTGCAACACACACACACACCATCAGCTCAGCGCAGTACAGAGAGTACCCGTTACTGCAACACACACACACACACACCATCAGCTCAGCGCAGTACAGAGAGTAGCCGTTACTGCAACACACACACACACCATCATATCAGCGCAGTACAGACTGTTTAGTTTCCTGTTCATTAGCATGTTAGCAGCTAGCTCCTCGTTAGCTAATTGGGACTCACGGTGGAGGTTTCGTCGGCCGTCCATCGAACTTGTCCTTCAGCTGTCTCTCTGCTTTAGTGAGGACGGAGCGCACGTGATCATCGGCGGAGACGTCAGGGTGAGCCACATGATACGCCCTCATACTGCCCTGCACACACACAGCAAAATAATGGGTTATAGTTCCACAGGTCCATGTCACACCCATTAGAACCTGCAGGGGAGGAGGATAATAATAATAAGTGTGTGTGTGTGTGTGTGTGTGTGTGTATTGTACCTCGTAGTCTTTCTGCAGCTCCAGGGCTTTGCTGATCCACTTGAGTCTCCTCTTGTCAGAGAGCTGGGACCACTGTCTCCTCAGAGCCTCCTTCAGCTCCTTCTGACTGACCTGAAACACACACACACACACACACACACACACACACACACACACACACACACACATCAATTAGATTGATAACATGCGATTCATTTGGTTACATAATGTTAGCTAGCTAGCTTTTTGCGATAGCTTACGTAAGTTAGTCATATTGTTATAGAGAGATAATGTAATAGTGTAGGCTAGCTAATAAACTGGTGTGTGTGTGTGTGTGTACCTCGGGGTGCAGCTTCAGGTAGGTCTTCTTCTCGTGGTTGTACCACAGCTGTTGGGGAGTTTTGGGTTTCTCTGGCAGGTCGGACTTCTTCCTCTCTTCGATCAGATCAGGATGATCGTGCCTGCAGGCAGCATCGTTAGCATGCTAACAACACTGTGTGGCAACCCACGCTAACAACACCCGCTAACCACCCACGCTAACAACACATGCTAACAACACCTGCTAACAACACACGCTAACAACACACGCTAACAACACACGCTAACCACCCACGCTAACAACACATGCTAACAACACCTGCTAACAACCCACGCTAACAACACACGCTAACAACACACACTAACAACACACGCTAACAACACACACTAACAACACATGCTAACAACAACCCACGTTAACAACACACGCTAACAACACATGCTAACAACCCACGTTAACAACACACGCTAACAACACATACTAACAACCCACGTTAACAACACACGCTAACAACACATACTAACAACCCACGTTAACAACACACGCTAACAACACATGCTAACAACCCACGTTAACAACACACGCTAACAACACATGCTAACAACCCACGCTAACAACACATGCTAACAACCCACGTTAACAACACATGCTAACAACACACAATAACAACACACGCTAACAACACATGCTAACAACCCACGTTAACAACACACGCTAACAACACATGCTAACAACCCACGTTAACAACACACGCTAACAACACATGCTAACAATCCACGCTAACAACACATGCTAACAACCCACGCTAACAACACATGCTAACAACCCACGCTAACAACACATGCTAACAACCCACGTTAACAACACACGCTAACAACACATGCTAACAATCCACGTTAACAACACACACTAATAACACATGCTAACATCTTCTTAACAAATATCCTATTATCTCTACGTGTGGATTTCTCCTTGTGTTGTTATTTATATGATGAGTATAGTTAGTAGAGTTAGTAGAGTTAGTAGGCTATAGTTAGTATAGTTAGTAGAGTTAGTAGAGTTAGTAGGCTATAGTTAGTATAGTTAGTAGAGTTAGTAGGCAATAGTTAGTAGAGTTAGTAGAGTTAGTAGAGTTAGTAGAGTTAGTAGGCTATAGTTAGTAGAGTTAGTAGAGTTAGTAGAGTTGGTTGAGTTGGTAGAGTTAGTAGGCTATAGTTAGTAGAGTTAGTAGAGTTGGTAGAGTTGGTAGAGTTGGTAGAGTTAGTAGGCTATAGTTAGTAGAGTTAGTAGAGTTAGTAGGCTATAGTTAGTAGAGTTAGTAAAAGGATATATTTGGCTGAGAGTCCTCTCTCTGTGGACCTACAGTGATATCTGTGCCCGATTCACACTGCGCACGATCGAGTCTGCCGTGAACTTGTGAAGTCTATCTGTAAACAGTGACCTTGTGAAGTCTATCTGGAAACAGTGACCTTGTGAAGTCTATCTGTAAACAGTGACCTTGTGAAGTCTATCTGTAAACAGTGACCTTGTGAAGTCTATCTGTAAACAGTGACCTTGTGAAGTCTATCTGTAAACAGTGACCTTGTGAAGTCTATCTGTAAACAGTGACCTTGTGAAGTCTATCTGGAAACAGTGACCTTGTGAAGTCTATCTGTAAACAGTGACCTTGTGAAGTCTATCTGGAAACAGTGCCCTTGTGAAGTCTATCTGTAAACAGTGACCTTGTGAAGTCTATCTGTAAACAGTGACCTTGTGAAGCCTATCTGTAAACAGTGACCTTGTGAAGTCTATCTGTAAACAGTGACCTTGTGAAGCCTATCTGTAAACAGTGACCTTGTGAAGTCTATCTGTAAACAGTGACCTTGTGAAGTCTATCTGGAAACAGTGACCTTGTGAAGTCTATCTGGAAACAGTGACCTTGTGAAGTCTATCTGGAAACAGTGACCTTGTGAAGTCTATCTGGAAACAGTGACCTTGTGAAGTCTATCTGGAAACAGTGACCTTGTGAAGTCTATCTGGAACAGTGACCTTGTGAAGTCTATCTGGAAACAGTGACCTTGTGAAGTCTATCTGGAAACAGTGACCTTGTGAAGTCTATCTGTAAACAGTGACCTTGTGAAGTCTATCTGGAAACAGTGACCTTGTGAAGTCTATCTGGAAACAGTGACCTTGTGAAGTCTATCTGGAAACAGTGACCTTGTGAAGTCTATCTGGAAACAGTGACCTTGTTGAAGTCTATCTGTAAACAGTGACCTTGTGAAGTCTATCTGTAAACAGTGACCTTGTGAAGTCTATCTGTAAACAGTGACCTTGTGAAGTCTATCTGGAAACAGTGACCTTGTGAAGTCTATCTGGAAACAGTGACCTTGTGAAGTCTATTCTGTAAACAGTGACCTTGTGAAGTCTATCTGGAAACAGTGACCTTGTGAAGTCTATCTGGAAACAGTGACCTTGTGAAGTCTATCTGGAAACAGTGACCTTGTGAAGTCTATCTGGAAACAGTGACCTTGTGAAGTCTATCTGTAAACAGTGACCTTGTGAAGTCTATCTGTAAACAGTGACCTTGTGAAGTCTATCTGTAAACAGTGACCTTGTGAAGTCTATCTGGAAACAGTGACCTTGTGAAGTCTATCTGGAAACAGTGACCTTGTGAAGTCTATCTGTAAACAGTGACCTTGTGAAGTCTATCTGGAAACAGTGACCTTGTGAAGTCTATCTGGAAACAGTGACCTTGTGAAGTCTATCTGTAAACAGTGACCTTGTGAAGTCTATCTGGAAACAGTGAGGTGGTCTCTGGTCACATGTGTAATTGATAACGTATGAGTCAGTAATAATAATCTCAGTCATCTGGCCCTAAAGCTGAGAGACCTTTCAGATCGAGCAATGAGGATCGCTAACAGAAGCTAATCCATGTCTCACTTATTATTAGAATCTACTGAACCCACTAAAAGGCTTTACGTTCAATAACTCGTCTCTCTCAGATGAATGTGGTTCTTCTTCGTGAAACGCCGCTGTGTCAAATGTCCCTCTTGGGATGCTGTAGCAGTACAGTCGGAGGAACAACTCCCGCTGCGCAGTGAAAATCGGGCAGACCCAATCTATAATAATATAAGCTTCAAAGAGGTGAAGGAGCGACTCACTTGAAGCGCGCCATGTTCTTCTCGAACTCCTCCTTCTCGCGCTGGAACTCAGTGATGTACTTTAGCTGCAGAGACAGAGAGAGGTGAGACAGAGCGGAGCGGGGGGGCGGGGGGGGGGGGGGGGGCGTGGGTACGGACCTTCTTCTTCTCCGGCAGCTCCTTGTACTTCTTGGACAGGATCTTGGTCAGATCCAGGTTGCTCATCTCTGGGTGGATCTTGGCGTACTTGGCTCGTTTCTCCATGAAGAAGCGGAAGTATGGAGTCAGGGGTTTCTTTGGGAACTCCGGGTGAGTCTGACAGGAAACACCATTTAAAGGCCCATTATGAACAATCCCCTTCTTCATGTCTCTTCTACATCAACATGTGTCCCCTCTTCTTCATGTCTCTTCTACATCAACATGTGTCCCCTCTTCTTCATGTCTCTTCTACATCACATGTGTCCCCTCTTCTTCATGTCTCTTCTACATCAACATGTGTCCCCTCTTCCTCATGTCTCTTCTACATCAACATGTGTCCCCTCTTCCCTCATGTCTCTTCTACATCAACATGTGTCCCCTCTTCTTCATGTCTCTTCTACATCAACATGTGTCCCCTCTTCTTCATGTCTCTTCTACATCAACACGTGTCCCCTCTTCTTCATGTCTCTTCTACATCAGCTGTGTCCCCTCTTCTTCATGTCTCTTCTACATCAACATGTGTCCCCTCTTCTTCATGTCTCTTCTACATCAACATGTGTCCCCTCTTCTTCATGTCTCTTCTACATCAACATGTGTCCCCTCTTCTTCATGTCTCTTCTACATCAACATGTCCCCTCTTCTTCATGTCTCTTCTACATCAACATGTGTCCCCTCTTCTTCATGTCTCTTCTACATCAACATGTGTCCCTCTTCTTCATGTCTCTTCTACATCAACATGTGTCCCCTCTTCTTCATGTCTCTTCTACATCAACATGTGTCCCCTCTTCTTCATGTCTCTTCTACATCAACATGTGTCCCCTCTTCTTCATGTCTCTTCTACTCAACATGTGTCCCCTCTTCATGTCTCTTCTACATCAACATGTGTCCCCTCTTCTTCATGTCTCTTCTACATCAACATGTGTCCCCTCTTCTCCATGTCTCTTCTACATCAACATGTGTCCCTCTTCTCATGTCTCTTCTACATCAACATGTGTCCCCTCTTCTCAGTTCTTCTACATCAACATGTGTCCCCTCTTCCTCATGTCTCTTCTACATCAACATGTGTCCCCTCTTCTTCATGTCTCTTCTACATCAACATGTCCCCTCTTCTTCATGTCTCTTCTACATCAACATGTGTCCCCTCTTCTTCATGTCTCTTCTACATCAACAGTGTCCCCTCTTCTTCATGTCTCTTCTACATAAATGTGTCCCCTCTTCTTCATGTCTCTTCTACATCAACATGTGTCCCCTTTCTTCATGTCTCTTCTACATCAACATGTGTCCCCTCTTCTTCATGTCTCTTCTACATCAACATGTGTCCCCTCTTCTTCATGTCTTTCTACATCAACATGTGTCCCCTCTTCTTCATGTCTCTTCTACATCAACATGTGTCCCCTCTTCTTCATGTCTCTTCTACATCAACATGTGTCCCTCTTCTCATGTCTCTTCTACATCAACATGTGTCCCCTCTTCTTCATGTCTCTTCTACATCAACATGTGTCCCCTCTTCTTCATGTCTCTTCTACATCAACATGTGTCCCCTTCTTCATGTCTCTTCTACATCAACATGTGTCCCCTCTTCTTCATGTCTCTTCTACATCAACATGTGTCCCCTCTTCTTCATGTCTCTTCTACATCAACATGTGTCCCCTCTTCTCATGTCTCTTCTACATCAACATGTGTCCCCTCTTCTCATGTCTCTTCTACATCAACATTGTGTCCCCTCTTCTTCACTGTCTCTTCTACATCAACATGTGTCCCCTCTTCTTCATGTCTCTTCTACATCAACATGTGTCCCCTCTTCTTCATGTCTCTTCTACATCAACATGTGTCCCCTCTTCTCATGTCTCTTCTACATCAACATGTGTCCCCTCTTCTTCATGTCTCTTCTACATCAACATGTGTCCCCTCTTCTTCATGTCTCTTCTACCTCAACATGTGTCCCCTCTTCTTCATGTCTCTTCTACATCAACATGTGTCCCCTCTTCTTCATGTCTCTTCTACATCAACATGTGTCCCCTCTCTCTTCATGTCTCTTCTACATCAACATGTGTCCCCTCTTCTTCATGTCTCCTCTACATCAACATGTGTCCCCTCTTCCTCATGTCTCTTCTTACATCAACATGTGTCACCTCTTCTTCATGTCTCTTCTTACATCAACATGTGTCCCCTCTTCGTCAGTCTCTTCTACATCAACATGTTGTCCCCCTCTTCTTCATGTCTCTTCTACATCAACATGTGTCCCCTCTTCTTCATGTCTCTTCTACATCAACATGTGTCCCCCTCTTCTTCATGTCTCTTCCTACATCAACATGTGTCCCCTCTTCTCATGTCTCTTCTACATCAACATGTGTCCCCTCTTCCTCCATGTCTCTTCTACATCACAGTGGGTCCCCTCTTCTTCATGTCTCTTCTACATCAACATGTGTCCCCCTCTTCTTCATGTCTCTTCTTAATCAACATGTGTCCCCTCTTCTTCATGTCTCTTCTACATCAACATGTGTCCCCTCTTCCTCATGTCTCTTACTACATCAACATGTGTCCCCTCTTCTTTCATGTCTCTTCTACATCAACATGTGTCCCCCTCTTCTTCATGTCTCTTCTACATCACCATGTGTCCCCTCTTCTTCATGTCCTCTTCTACATCAACATGGTCCCCTCTTCTTCATGTCTCTTCTACATCAACATGTGTCCCCCCTTCTTCTTCATGTCTCTTCTACATCAACATGTGTCCCCCTCTTCTCATGTCTCTTCTACATCAACATTGTGTCCCCTCTTCTTCATGTCTCTTCCTACATCAACATGTGTCCCCTCTTCTTCATGTCTCTTCCTACACTCAACATGTGTCCCCCTCTCTTCATGTCTCTTCTACATCACCATGTGTCCCCTCTTCTTCATGTCTCTTCTACATCAAACAGTGTAGTCCCCTCTTTTTCATGTTCTGCTTCTACATCAACACTGTGTCCCCTCTTCTTCATGTCTCTTCTACATCAACATGTGTCCCCTCTTCTTCATGTCTCTTCTACATCAACATGTGTCCCTCCCTCATGTCTCTTCTACATCAACATGTGTCCCCTCTTCTTCATGTCTCTCTTCTACATCAACATGTGTCCCCTCTTCCTCATGTCTCTTCTACATCAACATGTGTCCCCTCTTCTTCATGTCTCTTCTACATCAACATGTGTCCCCTCTTCTTCATGTCTCTTCTACACCAACATGTGTCCCTCTTCTTCATGTCTCTTCTACATCAACATGTGTCCCCTCTTCTTCATGTCTCTTCTACATCAACATGTGTCCCCTCTTCTTCAGGTCTTCTTCTACATCAACATGTGTCCCCTCTTCTTCATGTCTCTTCTACATCAACATGTGTCCCCTCTGTGGAAAGAGACTGAAAGGTTCAGGAACAAAGATTCTCTCTCTTTTTGACCCATTTCTATAAAAACCTGTCTGAAAATGAGCTGATCAGATTTTGGCCACTTTGTGATGTCATAACGATGTATTGTCTTGTGTAGCCATTAGCCAATCAGCAACCAAGGTAACCCCCCCCCTTATCACCTGAATCTCCTCCTAGAGCACCATCAGGCGCGTTCACACCGGAGCACTTTTCTCCCTTAGTTCCGTTAGTACCCGTTATGTTGCGTTCACACCAAAAAGAGTACTTAGTGCCGGGAACTTTTACCCTCATGTTTAGTGCCTGCTGAGAGGTGGTACCAAAAAGTGCCAAAAAAGTACCAATTTATATTGGCTGGGTGAATTGCAAACCACGCCCCGTAAAACTCTGAAACATTTTGTGAAGCCGCCATTGTATTTGCTGGCATTAGCATTATTAGCGTTAGCATTAGCCCCGCGCACCAACGGAGAGAGAATAACTTATGGCAACACAAAAAAAAACATGGGAGCGGTGGAGATGAGGAGGTGTCGGCGTTCTGGCGATTTATTCGGAAGGCTTCAGTAGAAGCTGACTTCCGGCCGGGGACTCCGGGCGGCAGTATACGCCGTGAAGTGGTTTGCGTCCTGCCAGTAAACCCAAAGCAGAAGAAGAAGAAGTGACGTCACCGGCTTCATTTGCCTAATCCTCCCCCAGGGACTTATTCCGGTGTGAACGCAATCTGTATTTAGTGCCCTGGGGTACTAAGTACAGCAAAGTACTTGGTGTGAAAGCGGCTATTGAGTTCTTTGTAACCAGATCTCTCTCAGAGGGGCGTGGGGAGGGGCTCCTTATTTTCATCTGAAGTAACAGACAGAGAATCAGCACTTTGGAAACAGGGCTGAAACAGAGGGGATTATGGGTAATGCTGCAATGATCTGTTTGGTTTCAGCCAATCAGAGACAGGCTCTGGATATATCTGAGACCTGGGATATATTGATGAGAAACAGTATCATAGGGACCTTTAAATATATATGCATCAGCCAAACGACTCGTTGCGCCCTCGCTGCGAGGGGGACCCAAGTTCCCATCAGCAGAAACACGTGGGTTTGCTGTCCTGGCTCCAAGATGGTGGAATGAGCTCCCCATTGACATCAGGACAGCAGAAAGCTTACACACCTTCCAGACTGAAAACTCATCTCTTTCGACTCCACTTCGAGCGATAGAACTATTAACAAAGCACTTATATACTAATAAAGGGCTGGCTTATCTAAAGCCAGTTGAGTAGCACTTGAAATGTTTGGCTCTATGAAACCTGATGTACTTTATGATTCTGTTTTCTTCAAGGTTGTGTCTTCCTGGTCGAATGTACTTATTGTAAGTCGCTCTGGACAAAAGCCTCAGCTAAATGTAATGTAATGTAATATGCCCCTACAAATAGAATCAAATGATGTGAGAAACACTGGATAATGCTAATAATTTTAAAAAAAATGTTTTAAATGTTATGTCGAATCACCCCCACTTTGGGGACCTTTAATTACAGATAATAATCCCGATTAAACTGGGGGAGGCCTCACCTTCAGCTTCTTGCCTTTGTACGGATTCCTCACGAACTCTGTGGCGTCGAAGATGACCTCCGTCATTGTGCGGTACTTACGCACCTGGAGCGTTAGGGTTAGAGAGGGTTATAACAGGTTATAACAGGCGCTGTGAAGGGGTTCTGCTCTGGAACAACTCCAGGACTGACATCACATACAATACAGAGAGAAAGCTCATTCTACTATATGGAAGATATCACCTTTAAAAGATATTCAAATAAGCCATAACATCTTCATCGTCTCACATGAAGAGATGCTCATGAAGTCATGAAGGTGAGACGTGACTCAGTGCAGATCGATCGTACCTCTGTGGAGACTTTGAGCCACTTGCTGCGGCACATCTCCCCGGAGAACAGCCCGAAGCCCACCTTCTCCCAGTCGAAGTGAGACTCGGTGGTTTTATACTTCATAGCATCAACGTCTGGGAGCAGGGAACGAATCCTCTCAAGAAGAGTGAGACATTCCTGCTGAGACCAGGAGTCTACACACACACACACACACACACACACACACACACACACACACACACACACACACACACACACACACACACACATCACACACACACACACACACACACACACACACACACACACACACACACACCACACACACACCACACAACACACACACACACAACACACACACACACACACACACACACACACACACACACACACACACACACACACACACACACACACACACACACACACACACACACACACACACACACACACACACACACACACACACACACAAATTCAGTATTTCTCAAAGGGGGGGCGCGAGAGACCAGGAGGAAAAATTGTTAGGACAAAAATCAGTGTGACAGCCCTCCCTCCCTCATGTTGCTTGGGGGGCGGGGCTTACCAAAGAGCAGTCTGGCATCCTGAGTGACAGCCCTCCCTCCCTCATGTTGCTTGGGGGGCGGGGCTTACCAAAGAGCAGTCTGGCATCCTGAGTGACAGCCCTCCCTCCCTCATGTTGCTTGGGGGGCGGGGCTTACCAAAGAGCAGTCTGGCATCCTGAGTGACAGCCCTCCCTCCCTCATGTTGCTTGGGGGGGGGGCTTACCAAAGAGCAGTCTGGCATCCTGAGTGACAGCCCTCCCTCCCTCATGTTGCTTGGGGGGGCGGGGCTTACCAAAGAGTAGTCTGGCATCCTGAGTGACAGCCCTCCCTCCCTCATGTTGCTTGGGGGGCGGGGCTTACCAAAGAGCAGTCTGGCATCCTGAGTGACAGCCCTCCCTCCCTCATGTTGCTTGGGGGGCGGGGCTTACCAAAGAGCAGTCTGGCATCCTGAGTGACAGCCCTCCCTCCCTCATGTTGCTTGGGGGGCGGGGCTTACCAAAGAGCAGTCTGGCATCCTGAGTGACAGCCCTCCCTCCCTCATGTTGCTTGGGGGTGGGGCTTACCAAAGAGCAGTCTGGCATCCTGAGTGACAGCCCTCCCTCCCTCATGTTGCTTGGGGGGGCGGGGCTTACCAAAGAGCAGTCTGGCATCCTGAGTGACAGCCCTCCCTCCCTCATGTTGCTTGGGGGGGCGGGGCTTACCAAAGAGCAGTCTGGCATCCTGAGTGACAGCCCTCCCTCCCTCATGTTGCTTGGGGGGCGGGGCTTACCAAAGAGCAGTCTGGCATCCTGAGTGACAGCCCTCCCTCCCTCATGTTGCTTGGGGGGCGGGGCTTACCAAAGAGCAGTCTGGCATCCTGAGTGACAGCCCTCCCTCCCTCATGTTGCTTGGGGGGCGGGGGCTTACCAAAGAGCAGTCTGGCATCCTGAGTGACAGCCCTCCCTCCCTCATGTTGCTTGGGGGTGGGGCTTACCAAAGAGCAGTCTGGCATCCTGAGTGACAGCCCTCCCTCCCTCATGTTGCTTGGGGGGGCGGGGCTTACCAAAGAGCAGTCTGGCATCCTGAGTGACAGCCCTCCCTCCCTCATGTTGCTTGGGGGGCGGGGCTTACCAAAGAGCAGTCTGGCATCCTGAGTGACAGCCCTCCCTCCCTCATGTTGCTTGGGGGGCGGGGCTTACCAAAGAGCAGTCTGGCATCCTGAGTGACAGCCCTCCCTCCCTCATGCTGCCTTCATGATGTTAGGTAGCGCGAGAAATATAACTCAACACTTTCTCTACCCAATACTCCGTGATTGGTGGGAAACTAAACTGATAGTTACTGAAGTTATCTAAGGGTGCGTTCACACCTGCCTTTTATAGTCCAGTTGAATCGAACCCTGGTGCGTTTAGCCGCTTGGTGCGGTTTGTTTGGGTCGGTGTGAACACAGTCCGAGACCTCTTAAGTGAACTAAACAACCGGACTTTGGTCCGCTAAAATAGGTGGTCTCGGAGCCAAGCCCACCTTAACCTGCCATCAGGCCCTGGGGCTGAACAAATCAAAGTCATTTATAGCCTCGGCAGGCTCTGTGATCGCACTTCTCCACTCTGCTCTGCGCGCCTGGTCCTCTCCTCCAGATGAGTGACGTATCGGGCCTCCCTCATGTATTTGTCCGGTTGCCGTTAGCGCCCCTCCACGTAGCAAGTCCTCGTCGACCTCTCCATCTCCTCCAACAGATAATGTCCCTCCTGTCTGTTCTTCCTCTCCCGCTACTCCATCGCTATCAGAACCAGACGGCCTACTTGGCTCCGAGGCCCCGCGGCCGGCACCGCTGCCGCTCGGTCCAGAACTCACCTGTCCTCCCTCCTCATCCTGGCCTACAGGTTTAAAATAACCTGTAAGCTTCGGCATGTTTTGTAATAGCTGCTTGTCTCAAAACTCCTTTTGAGAGCGCCACTCTCAAACTTTTTCTTCTCCAAATGTTCTCCTAAACACCCTTCATCTGTCACTCAATCACTCGCAATTTGAATAAGTCACATGTGAAACATATTCTCATTCTGATTGGCTGTGAAGTGGTGCCCACTGACTGTTACGGAGTCATCTCTGGAATCCATCGATCTCATTGATTAGCGGAGCAAATGATCAAAATACTATATATGTATACGGAGGGAAGATATTTTCGTTTGGATTACTGGTCTGGGGGAAGCTCGCGAGTGTGTGTGTGTGTGTATATATGTGTGTGTGTGTGTGTATATGTGTGTGTGTTTGTGTATATTGTGTTTGTTTCCCGGGAGAAACACCGGCTGTTGTTATGCCTGCTGTGACGTCAAGTTACTCCGTTCTCCGCTTGTAATTATGCCGAAGCTTCAAAGTTGTATTTATCATCTGAATTCGCCGAAACAAGTTTAATATTCTGAAAGCCAAGACTTTGTTTTTTGAAACCAGATGAAAACAAACAGGATTGTAGCTGACATCCTCGTGGATTCATCTTCTCATTACAGACACATGCATTTCCTAACATTCGGTCTATATGCTGTAAAATGTATTATCTCTTGGATTTACACACAGCATCTATTGCACGTCTGTCCGTCCTGGGAGAGGGATCCCTCCTCTGTTGCTCTCCCTGAGGTTTCTCCCATGTTCCCTTTAAACTGTGGGTTTTCTCTGGAAGTGTTTCCTTGTACGATGTGAGGGTCTAAGGACAGAGGGTCTGAGGACAGAGGGTCTGAGGAAAGAGGGTCTGAGGACAGAGGATCTAAGGACAGAGGGTCTAAGGACAGAGGGTCTGAGGACAGAGGGTCTGAGGACAGAGGGTCTGAGGACAGAGGGTCTGAGGACAGAGGGTCATTCAGCCCAGGTCAGCCCGTGCATTAAGGCGGCCCTGCCCGGAGCGCTTGCTAGTGGTTGTTCCTAGAGTCTCTAAAAGTACAATGGGAGCCAGAGCCTTTTCTTATCAAGCTCCACATTTGTGGAATCAGCTTCCAGTTTGTGTTCGGGCGGCAGACACCCTATCCGTTTTTAAGAGTGCGCTTAAGACCTTCCTTTTTGATAAAGCTTATAGTTAGGGCTGATTAGATCCAGCCCCTAGTTTTGCTGATATAGGCTTAGTTTGTCGGGGGACATCTTACTTCTTCCTTCTCTCTGTCTATACCTGTGTACTCTCATGTTCCGATTAACCCAGCTTCCCCAAATGTCTTTCTTTTTGGTGTCTGTATACGCCGGGATCCGGAGTCATGGATGATCCTGCGCTCCTCTGTCCTGGATCGCGAGCCCTGGATCTTGAGTCGTGGCTGTGGTCCTGGATCATAGGTCCTGGATGGATATCCTCGTGGATTCATCTTCCTATTATACACACATGCATTTCCAAACATTTTGACTACCTATGTTGCAAATGTATTATCTTTTCAATGTACACACGGCATCTATTGCACGTCTGTCCGTCCTGGGAGAGGGATCCCTCCTCTGTTGCTCTTCCTGAGGTTTCTCCATGTTCCCTTTAAACTGTGGGTTTTCTTTGGAAGTTTTTCCTTGTACGATGTGAGGGTCTAAGGACAGAGGGGCTAAGGACAGAGGGTCTAAGGACAGAGGGTGTCGTATTGTCATACTGATATTGTGTACAAACTGTAAAGTCCACTGAGACAAATGTAACATTTGTGATATTGGGCTATATAAATAAACATTGATTGATTGATTGATTGATTGATAGTGAACTCTGGAGCGGTTAATTGCTGGTGTGAACGCAGTCCGCACTAAAATATAGGAAGCGTAGTATTTACGCGTCACAAGAACGCGGATGTCTTCAAAAATCTTTAGCGAAAGAGTCTTTCAAGACATCCAGTTGTTAAGTTAAAGAGTGAAGCAGGATGAAGAGTTGAACAGTGTTGTCAGGGGCGGCGGGTGCTGTAGGCTAGGGAAGGCTAAGCCTTTCCAAATATTTGTGTCACTGCATCCTGGTAAAATAAAAAATATAATGTACCCTATAATGTGTGTCTTCGATTAGCGCTGCAGCCACCAGGAAAGTGTGCTGCGAAGCCAGTCCACAGACCCTGGGTACGTTTGAGTTACAAACTAACTAACAAAGAGATCTCACCAAGCGGTCCCACGGCGCTGGTTATCAACTCGGTGAATCAAGCCAGGGTCTCTCTCCAGCTGAGAGCGTTCATGTGAAAGGGGCGGGGTTAGCTACGTTTGACCAATCACAAACAGGGACAAGTGTACTGACAGCGCAGCGTCATACTTCCTGAATGAAAAGTGAACTATAATATTAGACATATGAAGAAGTTAAAGTTTAAACATCCATGACTTAAACACTTGATCCAGGATCAAAGCCACAGAGCTGCACCTGCAAGGTGAACACAGCTGGGAACAGAACAAGTGTTTGAATGCGTACATTAACAGCTTTATGATATCACTGCCCGTCTAAGACACCATCTGACTTTCATTACATTTGACTCCAGTGTTTCCTCAACTTAATGTGTTGCTTCAAATAATGCTTCTGCATCCAGTCTGTGACGCTGTGAGTGTTGCACGGCCAGATACGGCTCAGCTGACTCAGATCAGGAGATATGTGATATGATATGATCGATGATCTGATTGATGATGTGATATGAATGATAAGTGTGACACGTCGGCGTCTTCTCTGCAGGCTACTGCAGTTTAAACTGTATTGATGATTTATTCCCCGCACACTGAGCTCTGATTGGTCAGCAGGCGGTGCTTGAGTTGATCTCTTTTCTATAGACGCTGGAGGCGGGCAGCGTCAGGTAAAAACAAGTTATTTAGCCTTCCCAAACCTGAGCCTCACGCGCCGCCTATGAGTGTCGTGTAAAGTAAAAATGCTCCGTCAGCTACATAAACGTCAGAGCACCTGTCGTCGGTGAAACGCCCTCTGACTGCAGAACGTCTCATTGTGTTATCATGTTTTTAACGTTGTCTGATGATATAATCATATGCCCGGGCCGCTAGTGTCTGTTCATCTCCAGATTAACAGCAGCATGAGAACAACCTGCAGAAAGTGCCGATGCTCCATGGCGGAGGCGTTTTTACCCCCTTAATGTCTGACCAATGGTTGAACAGCATTTCCGAGCACATGACTTGTGTTTAAAGTTTATAGTCCGTTTGAGTTTTGCCGTGTGAACGCAAACTGAACCTTCTGGAAAAAGAAACAATGCAACAAACTGTGGTCTGGTGCTCACCAGAGAGCAAACTATTAGGGGTGAATGCACCCTCAGAGCATGAATGGAAAATAGTGAATAGAGCAGGTCCACCAGAGCCACCTGCTGGCTCCATGGTGAGCTCCATGGTGAGCTCCATGGTGAGCTCCAGCAGGTGAGCTCCATGGTGAGCTCCATGGTGAGCTCCATGGTGAGCTCCATGGTGAGCTCCATGGTGAGCTCCATGGTGAGCTCCATGGTGAGCTCCAGCAGGTGAGCTCCATGGTGAGCTCCATGGTGAGCTCCAGCAGGTGAGCTCCATGGTGAGCTCCATGGTGAGCTCCATGGTGAGCTCCATGGTGAGCTCCATGGTGAGCTCCATGGTGAGCTCCATGGTGAGCTCCATGGTGAGCTCCAGCAGGTGAGCTCCATGGTGAGCTCCATGGTGAGCTCCATGGTGAGCTCCAGCAGGTGAGCTCCATGGTGAGCTCCAGCAGGTGAGCTCCATGGTGAGCTCCATGGGTGAGCTCATGGTGAGCTCCAGCAGGTGAGCTCCATGGTGAGCTCCAGCAGGTGAGCTCCATGGTGAGCTCCATGGTGAGCTCCATGGTGAGCTCCAGCAGGTGAGCTCCATGGTGAGCTCCAGCAGGTGAGCTCCATGGTGAGCTCCATGGTGAGCTCCATGGTGAGCTCCATGGTGAGCTCCATGGTGAGCTCCATGGTGAGCTCCAGCAGGTGAGCTCCAGCAGGTGAGCTCCAGCAGGTGAGCTCCATGGTGAGCTCCAGCAGGTGAGCTCCAGCAGGTGAGCTCCAGCAGGTGAGCTCCAGCAGGTGAGCTCCATGGTGAGCTCCATGGTGAGCTCCAGCAGGTGAGCTCCATGGTGAGCTCCAGCAGGTGAGCTCCAGCAGGTGAGCTCTAGCAGGTGGTTCTGGTGGACATGACGCCATCGCAAAAAGCCAAGCCAATACAATGCTGCGTTCATAGAGCTACGTGAAGTGGGGAAGGACAACGCTTAATTGCGGATATGTAACTTCACATTCTAGCACAGTTTATTGCTATTATACCGCGATTGTTGCCGACGACGATGCTCAACAGATCGCTGAACGCAACCTCCCACCAATCACGGAGTATTGGGTAGAGAAAGGGTTGAGTTATATTTCTCGGGCTACCTAACATCCATGAAGGCACCATGAGGGAGGGAGGGCTGTCACTCAGGATGCCAAACTACTCTTTGGTAAGCCCCGCCCCCCAAGCAACATCAGGGCCACAAGTTAGAAAGCAAAAAAAAATGGGGGGGGGTTACCTGGTTCATTCTTGATCCTGGAGGTCTGAGACGTGGAGACACTGCTGCCGTTCATCATGCAGTGTGACCCCTTCCCTCTGCGCACACACACACACACACACACACACACACACACACACACACAATATTGTATGAAATCTCATCACGTGTTGAATCAGACTTTAGTTCCACCAAACTAGCTGCACCTTGACCAGCTTTGAGAACACTTTCATGATACTTTGACTGTCTCTAACTATATTTTGATGATAACACTTTAATGCAGCGCTACATTAACCTATAGTGTGCAGCTCTATCCTCCTGTATGCAGCTCCATTACATGACATGTCACTTGTTAGACTCAATTCTGTGGGCAATCCCCACAGGAGCACTTTGGGGTGAAGTGTCTCAGGGACACAACGACATGCTGACTGCAGTGGGGTTTGAACCTGTGACGGAGCGGACTGGCCATTGGGAATACCGGGAGTTTTACCGGTGGGACGGTCGGACAATTGACTAGCGGTACCGAGTTGGGCCGGTCGGGTCTCCCGGGCAGATTTTTAGTCAGTCCGCCCCTGCCCTGATCCGAACACTAACGCTCAACCCACTGCACCACACGCCTCCTGTATGCAGCTCTTTAGCATGCAGCTCTATCAGTCTGTATGCAGGTCTATAGTGTGCAGCTCTATCAGTCTGTATGCAGGTCTATAGTGTGTAGCTCTATCAGTCTGTATGCAGGTCTCTAGTGTGTAGCTCTATCAGTCTGTATGCAGGTCTATAGTGTGCAGCTCTATCAGTCTGTATGCAGGTCTCTAGTGTGTAGCTCTATCAGTCTGTATGCAGGTCTATAGTGTGCAGCTCTATCAGTCTGTATGCAGGTCTATAGTGTGTAGCTCTATCAGTCTGTATGCAGGTCTATAGTGTGCAGCTCTATCAGTCTGTATGCAGGTCTATAGTGTGCAGCTCTATCCTCCTGTATGCAGGTCTATAGTGTGCAGCTCTATCAGTCTGTATGCAGGTCTATAGTGTGCAGCTCTATCAGTCTGTATGCAGGTCTCTAGTGTGTAGCTCTATCAGTCTGTATGCAGGTCTCTAGTGTGTAGCTCTATCCTCCTGTATGCAGGTCTATAGTGTGTAGCTCTATCAGTCTGTATGCAGGTCTATAGTGGGCAGCTCTATCAGTCTATATGCAGGTCTATAGTGTGCAGCTCTATCAGTCTGTATGCAGGTCTATAGGGTGCAGCTCTATCAGTCTGTATGCAGGTCTATAGTGTGCAGCTCTATCAGTCTGTATGCAGGTCTATAGTGTGTAGCTCTATCAGTCTGTATGCAGGTCTATAGTGTGCAGCTCTATCAGTCTGTATGCAGGTCTATAGGGTGCAGCTCTATCAGTCTGTATGCAGGTCTATAGTGTGCAGCTCTATCAGTCTGTATGCAGGTCTATAGTGTGCAGCTCTATCAGTCTGTATGCAGGTCTATAGTGTGCAGCTCTATCCTCCTGTATGCAGGTCTCTAGTGTGTAGCTCTATCAGTCTGTATGCAGGTCTATAGGGTGCAGCTCTATCAGTCTGTATGCAGGTCTATAGTGTGCAGCTCTATCAGTCTGTATGCAGGTCTATAGTGTGTAGCTCTATCAGTCTGTATGCAGGTCTATAGTGGGCAGCTCTATCAGTCTGTATGCAGGTCTATAGTGTGCAGCTCTATCAGTCTGTATGCAGGTCTATAGTGTGTAGCTCTATCAGTCTGTATGCAGGTCTATAGGGTGCAGCTCTATCCTCCTGTATGCAGGTCTATAGTGTGTAGCTCTATCAGTCTGTATGCAGGTCTATAGTGTGCAGCTCTATCCTCCTGTATGCAGGTCTATAGTGTGCAGCTCTATCCTCCTGTATGCAGGTCTATAGTGTGCAGCTCTATCAGTCTGTATGCAGGTCTATAGTGTGCAGCTCTATCAGTCTGTATGCAGGTATATAGTGTGCAGCTCTATCCTCCTGTATGCAGGTCTATAGTGTGCAGCTCTATCCTCCTGTATGCAGGTCTATAGTGTGCAGCTCTATCCTCCTGTATGCAGGTATATAGTGTGCAGCTCTATCCTCCTGTATGCAGGTCTATAGTGTGCAGCTCTATCCTCCTGTATGCAGGTCTATAGTGTGCAGCTCTATTCTCCTGTATGCAGGTCTATAGTGTGCAGCTCTATCAGTCTGTATGCAGGTCTATAGTGTGCAGCTCTATCATCCTGTATGCAGGTCTATAGTGTGTAGCTCTATCAGTCTGTATGCAGGTCTATAGTGTGCAGCTCTATCAGTCTGTATGCAGGTCTATAGTGTGCAGCTCTATCCTCCTGTATGCAGGTCTATAGTGTGTAGCTCTATCAGTCTGTATGCAGGTCTATAGTGTGCAGCTCTATCAGTCTGTATGCAGGTCTATAGTGTGCGGCTCTATCAGTCTGTATGCAGGTCTATAGTGTCCAGCTCTATCAGTCTGTATGCAGGTCTATAGTGTGTAGCTCTATCAGTCTGTATGCAGGTCTATAGTGTGCAGCTCTATCAGTCTGTATGCAGGTCTATAGTGTGCAGCTCTATCAGTCTGTATGCAGGTCTATAGGGTGCAGCTCTATCAGTCTGTATGCAGGTCTATAGTGTGTAGCTCTATCAGTCTGTATGCAGGTCTATAGTGTGTAGCTCTATCAGTCTGTATGCAGGTCTATAGTGTGTAGCTCTATCAGTCTGTATGCAGGTCTATAGTGTGCAGCTCTATCCTCCTGTATGCAGGTCTATAGTGTGCAGCTCTATCAGTCTGTATGCAGGTATATAGTGTGCAGCTCTATCCTCCTGTATGCAGGTCTATAGTGTGCAGCTCTATCCTCCTGTATGCAGGTCTATAGTGTGCAGGTCTATAGTGTGCAGCTCTATCAGTCTGTATGCAGGTCTATAGTGTGTAGCTCTATCAGTCTGTATGCAGGTCTATAGTGTGCAGCTCTATCCTCCTGTATGCAGGTCTATAGTGTGCAGCTCTATCAGTCTGTATGCAGGTCTATAGTGTGCAGCTCTATCAGTCTGTATGCAGGTCTATAGTGTGCAGCTCTATCAGTCTGTATGCAGGTCTATAGTGTGTAGCTCTATCAGTCTGTATGCAGGTCTATAGTGTGCAGCTCTATCAGTCTGTATGCAGGTCTATAGTGTGCAGCTCTATCCTCCTGTATGCAGGTCTATAGTGTGTAGCTCTATCAGTCTGTATGCAGGTCTATAGTGTGCAGCTCTATCAGTCTGTATGCAGGTCTATAGTGTGTAGCTCTATCAGTCTGTATGCAGGTCTATAGTGTGCAGCTCTATCCTCCTGTATGCAGGTCTATAGTGTGTAGCTCTATCAGTCTGTATGCAGGTCTATAGTGTGTAGCTCTATCAGTCTGTATGCAGGTCTATAGTGTGCAGCTCTATCCTCCTGTATGCAGGTCTATAGTGTGCAGCTCTATCAGTCTGTATGCAGGTCTATAGGGTGCAGCTCTATCCTCCTGTATGCAGGTCTATAGTGTGCAGCTCTATCAGTCTGTATGCAGGTCTATAGTGTGCAGCTCTATCTCTCCTGTATGTAGGTCTATAGTGTGTAGCTCTATCAGTCTGTATGCAGGTCTATAGTGTGCAGCTCTATCAGTCTGTATGCAGGTCTATAGTGTGCAGCTCTATCAGTCTGTATGCAGGTCTATAGTGTGCAGCTCTATCAGTCTGTATGCAGGTCTATAGTGTGCAGCTCTATCCTCCTGTATGCAGGTCTATAGTGTGCAGCTCTATCAGTCTGTATGCAGGTCTATAGTGTGTAGCTCTATCAGTCTGTATGCAGGTCTATAGTTTGCAGCTCTATCAGTCTGTATGCAGGTCTATAGTGTGCAGCTCTATCCTCCTGTATGCAGGTCTATAGTGTGCAGCTCTATCAGTCTGTATGCAGGTCTATAGTGTGTAGCTCTATCAGTCTGTATGCAGGTCTCTAGTGTGCAGCTCTATCAGTCTGTATGCAGGTCTATAGTGTGCAGCTCTATCAGTCTGTATGCAGGTCTATAGGGTGCAGCTCTATCAGTCTGTATGCAGGTCTATAGTGTGCAGCTCTATCAGTCTGTATGCAGGTCTCTAGTGTGCAGCTCTATCCTCCTGTATGCAGGTCTATAGTGTGCAGCTCTATCAGTCTGTATGCAGGTCTATAGTGTGTAGCTCTATCAGTCTGTATGCAGGTCTATAGTGTGTAGCTCTATCAGTCTGTATGCAGGTCTATAGTGTGCAGCTCTATCAGTCTGTATGCAGGTCTATAGGGTGCAGCTCTATCCTCTTGTATGCAGGTCTATAGTGTGCAGCTCTATCAGTCTGTATGCAGGTCTATAGTGTGCAGCTCTATCAGTCTGTATGCAGGTCTATAGGGTGCAGCTCTATCAGTCTGTATGCAGGTCTATAGTGTGCAGCTCTATCAGTCTGTATGCAGGTCTATAGGGTGCAGCTCTATCCTCTTGTATGCAGGTCTATAGTGTGCAGCTCTATCAGTCTGTATGCAGGTCTATAGTGTGTAGCTCTATCAGTCTGTATGCAGGTCTATAGTGTGCAGCTCTATCAGTCTGTATGCAGGTCTATAGTGTGCAACTCTATCAGTCTGTATGCAGGTCTATAGTGTGCAGCTCTATCAGTCTGTATGCAGGTCTATAGTGTGCAGCTCTATCAGTTTGTATGCAGGTCTATAGTGTGCAGCTCTATCAGTCTGTATGCAGGTCTCTAGTGTGCAGCTCTATCAGTCTGTATGCAGGTCTATAGTGTGCAGCTCTATCAGTCTGTATGCAGGTCTATAGTGTGCAGCTCTATCAGTCTGTATGCAGGTCTATAGTGTGCAGCTCTATCAGTCTGTATGCAGGTCTATAGTGTGCGTCTCATCAGTCTGTATGCAGGTCTATAGTGTGCAGCTCTATCAGTCTGTATGCAGGTCTATAGTGTGCAGCTCTATCAGTCTGTATGCAGGTCTATAGTGTGTAGCTCTATCAGTCTGTATGCAGGTATATAGTGTGCAGCTCTATCAGTCTGTATGCAGGTTTATAGTGTGCAGCTCTATCAGTCTGTATGCAGGTCTATAGGGTGCAGCTC